ACGAAGTCACGGAATCTCAGCCGCCGGCGTCTTCTCCGGGCCGGGTTCTGCGCTGTGGTTCCTTGGACCTGGCTCGCAATCGCGTAGCTGGAGGGAGGCTGTTCACGGCTCTCTGACGGGAGGGGGGCCCGAGGCGATCTCTTTTATTGAACCAACTTCTGTTGGTGAGCGCGACCAGCTTTGGAGCCGCCCGGCGCCCTTCCTCCGGTCAACGGGACACTCAGCCAGTCTGGCTCGGACTCCCGCCCAGTTGAGTTTCATCACAATCCCCTTCGGCAGCTTATCGAGCAGCACTTTTATTTTCGGATGATTTTTGACTTGCCCCCAGCGTTTACCAGGGTGTTCTCCTTGGCGCCTTCGCCGGGTTTCGTCGCTGAGGATCAGAAAAGCCAGGCAGGGACTCGGGAGCTCTTTGGGGCCTGGCTGCTGCGGGGGTGGGATCGGAAGTTTCGTCGGTACAGCAAGGCAAGCGAGCAGAGGAAACTGAGCAGATGACCAGAGTCCTAGAAAGCTAAAATTAGCACGTTCTTCGGTCTTTGATTGAAACAAAAGCCAAATGAGCCAAGCTTATGGTGACCGGGGTAAACCCTTCAGCTTTAGTCTTCTAATCCCGTCTCTCCTTGGGTTTTGTTTTCAGCTGGTTGCCAAAGGGGGGGGGGGGGGAAATACAACCTTTGTTCATGTCCAGGAGTGTCCCTGCACTTCTTGCATCTTCCTCACCCCTAATTCTGTTACGTCTGCGTCGGGTGATTTACTGTAATATCCGAATGCGGAGCATGAGGACGGAATAACAAGCGTGATCGGGGTGAGCATGTGACGGGGAAAAACACTGGAAGCAGTGGTTGAGTCCAGCTGTGTTTAGGATGTGGGGTATGTTTGTAGTTTCTGTGCTACAGGTGCCCAAATTTTGCCCATCTGAGGGCCACATTAACATCCTGCCAGGAGGCTCTTCCCCCGTCCCTGACCGCCACCCATTGTCGCTGCAGGTATGACCTCTGGAAGGAAGGCCCAGCCAGGCCTGCAGTGCTCCATCTTGAGCCAAGTGGCCTGGCTGCATTGCATGCTGGGAGCCGTAGTTTTGGGTCGTCTCTCTCTTAAAGATGGAGGCGGCTGCAGCGTAGAAGCCGGGGATACTTCGGCTGCCCTGGCCTACTCAGACGTGGCAGGTGAGGAGAGCAGGAACGTAGGTGAGATTTGCTAGCTACCAGTCGTGCGTCTCCCACAACTTCAGGCACGAGCAGAAGAGGAGCGTCCCTGCTCTGCCCAGGCTCGCTCAGGGGCTGATTCCTGATTAGCTCGTGTTCTGTGCGGACAACTCCTGTACGGCCTGATTAGGAGCTGGCGGCTTTTAAATGCCGAACTGAATGTGGGAGTGGGCGATAAAAAGCCGGGCCTGCGGTTGAGTAACTGTTGAAAAAACCCCACCTGTTCTTGTGCAAGTAAACACTTGTGGCCCTGAGACACCTGCCCAGCACCTCCTGGGTCTGCATTTGCTCGGCTTTGCTAACGCAGCTTTGTGGCTTTACCCTCCTCCTGCCCTCCTTCCCCACTTCGGCATGTCCTTGAATAGTTCCATAATTCCTGGAAATGAACCTCTGGGGCAGGTTGGTACTCGGGAGATGCAGTTTGGCCCAGTGAATATAGGACACTGGCGTGGGAGCCAGGGGCCCTGGCTTTGCCACTGACTTGCTGTTTGACCTTGAGCAAGTCACTTCCCCTTTCAGTGCCTTGGCTTTTTTCCCCTTCCCACCCGTATCTGGCTGTAAGAGCCAACGGGCCTCGCAGCACTACAAATAGATCACCCTAACCTTCCCTGTGGAATGTTCTCCGGGGCGTGCCAGGTCCATCTGTGGAGGTCACCGGGGGAGCTGGCGAGCGGTGAGACAACGGCAGTTTTTAGCACCCGGGGCAGCACAACTGGGAACTGGGCTCGACCTCTCCGCTTGTGAGCTCCTGGGGTCGGAGTGTGCATTGTCATGGCTGGGCCTCCTGCAGCCTGGCAATGTGGAAATCCATTGGGGGGAGGGATGAGACGCCCGGGGGAGGGGGGGTGAGTGTAGGAGGGGATGAATGAGAGGACTGGGCGGGCATCGAACTGAAGCTCTGAAAGCGAAGAACCTTGCCAGCAAGCCTGTGGGGTGTGGGAGGTCTCTACCCACTGACTCATGTACAGTCCAACTCCCCTGTGGGCCTTCTGACCGTAATCTGGTGCTGCCACCACCCCACCAATCAGCCCTCCCCTGGAATTGCAATAGTGGGGATCTGTCACCAGTCGCCACCATGCCACTTGGCAGGCCTGGCAGTTTTAACCTTGTGATCTTGCATTGCACTGGGAGTGTTGGGGTAAAGGTCAGGCTCTGGAAGAGGAGAGTGGTGTTTCCAACAAGCAGTTCGGAGTTACCAGTTCGGGGACCCAAATTCAAGGGCAGCCTCTGACACTTTAAACATCTGTACAAGGAACGAGGTTGCAGGGCTCTGCTAAGAGATTTGGCCCTAAAGCTCCGTGGTCTTGGTGGAAGGCCTGCACCCTGCATTAGGAAGGAGGTGCCCTGTCAGAGGGCTCTCTGCAGCTGTTGGGTTGCGGGTTCCAGCTGTGAACGGACACTGTCTGCCATTATGGAATATGACCCCGGGATTCCCAGCAGAGCTGGGGATGGAACCCAGAAGTCCTGGCTCCTAGTCCCCTCGCTCTAAACTATGCGGCTTGCCCAGTGCCACCTGCACACCAGCAATGCGTGTGAGGCTACGTGCGAGGTGGGTGTACAAAGAACGCTCCCGTGGTCCTAGGAGATCTCCGTCTCCTATCCTTGCTGGGGGAACAGGCTCTGTTCTAACTGTCCCATTCTCTGGGTCAGGATTCACAAGAAAAGGGACTGAGCTCAGATATACTTGTAATTCCTCTTGCTCTGATGTGCTAAACATTGCCTTTTAACTGGAACCAGAAACCAATTCTCCCTGGTAACCATAACAGCCCTGAGTGTTTCCTGCTGATGTGATCACTTTAATCCTCTTAGCGAACCACTCCCCAGGCCTGGAAAGACTCCTCTGTGGGCAGCAAGTGGTCCCATTTCACACACCCCTCTCTGTCCCTTGCTGCCTTCTGCCCTGTACCACCTCCGCGTCCAGTGACGCTATCAGAGCTTGAGATCCACCGGCAACATGGTTCTTGTTCCGTGCATGTGACTGATGTCGGAGAAGCAGCCTGGGCTAGCGGGTAGGGCCCCAGACTAGGAGTCTGGAAACCTGAATTCTGTTCCCAACTCTGCCACTCGCTTGCTGTGCGACCCAGGGCAAGTTGTTCCCCTCCACACATCTTCGCTTTCTAGACTGGCAGCTCGTGGGGGCGGGGAGCTGTGTGTGCCCTGTCCGCACAGCCTCTCCTGCTAGTTTAACCCTTTGTCTTTCTCCTTCCGCTGTCTGTGTCCCAGCCCCAGGCTGGGCTCCTGTTGCTTTCATCTCTGAAGCAAAGTGCAAAACGATGCTGCTCTTGAGCTGTTTGAAACATTGGATAACAATCAATCCCTTCCTTGGAGAGGTTTGGAAACAGGGTTCCCATCTTGCCCCTCTACTCTTTCCTCTGGGAACCTGCCAACTTGCAGGGAGGACTGAGCAAAACCCGTTTTAATGCTGCCCTGGATTTCCCAGCTTAACCCCTCGGAGGGTAACAGCTGCTGCTCTGTCCTTCCCTTGCCCTGCTGCGCTGATGGATTGCAGCAGGCGATCTGAGTACAATGCGCAGCCCTGCCGCTGCTGCTTGCTCCAGGTGTGTCCTCCCCTGGGCCCGTCCTGGGGAGGAGAGAGGAATGTGCTGGTCCAGTCAGGTCTTGGCGTCTCAGCAGCGACTGCCCACAAAGGAGGTCAGTTGGTGTTCATTTAAAACAATCCTCGTGCCGTAGGGTTAAATCTTTGCAATAAGGCAGACTCTGGGTGGAGGCCTTGGGAGGGGCGGGGGGGTGGGATGCTGAGCGTGGGGGAGCTGGCCCAGAACGCGTTCCTGTTCGGCGAACTCCGGCTCCCCCGTGATGAGAGACGTCTGTGACTCGACTTCCTTTGTGCCGCCCGGCTGGCTGGGAAGAGAACTAGGAAAATGGAGCAAAGCTCCGGGCTATTAACTGCTCTGGTGGACGGAGTTTCATTCCTAGTTCAATCTGGGGTTTGTGGGTCTGTCGCTTTGTGCCATCTGCTCAGCTCACGTAGACTTTGCAGCAGTGTCTGGAACTGCCGGATCTTCCCAGCCAGCAGGACCGAATGGAAAAACCGAGTCACTTGTGAGCTATTCCAGCACCGTCCCTCAGGGACCCCGTGTGTTCCACAGAATCGACTGTCTGGTGTGGGGAGGGCGACCAGACAGCAAATGTGAAAAATCGGGACAGGGCGTGGGGGGTTATAGGAGCCTGGATAAGAAAGACCCCAAAATCGGGACTGTCCCTATAAAATCGGGACGTCTGGTCACCCTAGGTGTGGGGGAACCTTGTTACAGCCCGGGGGGGCACAGGTCTGTCCCATCTAGGCTACAGCATGGCTGAGTAGCTGGGCCGTGTGGTACCAGTTGACCCAGGGTAGGAGGCAGCTTTGTCTAATTGCTAAAGCAGGGCAATGAGTCAGAGCCAGGCTTTATTCCCAGCTCTGCCCTGACTGGCAACGTGACTTCAGACCAGGCCCTTCCTGGCTGTGATGGGGGTGGATATACCCCCCCCCTCCTTCGGGGCCCTGGGATGGAGCTAGCAACAAGCTGTTTTAAAACTAGCGGTGCCAATGTGCTGTTCTTCCCGCCCACCCCCAGGTGCCTGGAGCCCAAGGGTCACCCTCCCCCAATAACTAATTCCTCCCCCTTCCGTGCTGGAGGAGACACCCAAGGAGGAAGTTGTCTCCAGGGTAAGGTTGTGCTTGACACTGGCGTGGCCTGTGGTGACTCCGCACTGCAAGACTTTGCACCATGCCTGGCGGGTGAATCACCGGCGGGGACCTGTTCTGGGCTAGCAGGGAGGGCAGGGCTCAGACTGGCACGTGGCGGTGGTCACAAACCACTGGACGGAGGGGAGCCGGCGGCTGCCCCCTCTCCGGTTGTTTGCGTTTGATCATCAGGGGAGATTGCAGGGCCCTCTGGACCTCTCGCCCCGCCAGTGTTGACTGGGGCGGCTGGCAGCCCTCTCCCAAGGCTGAGCGCGCACCCGCTTGGGTTCGTGTTGAGCCGGGTTCGTGGCTGTGGGGCTGTTTTGCAAGGCGAGCACAGGCCGGGTGTGAGGTCTCTGGAGTTCCCTGGGACTGTCAGCGGAACCATCCGCTCCTTAGCGTCTGCAGTACAGCACGTGTCGGTCTCGCTGCTGGTCCTGAACCGGATGTGAATCCAAGAGGCCCCGAGCAGCATGGCGCAAAGGGGCGACTAGCGTAGCCTGCAGACGCGTCTGGTCTCCTGGCTTTTTGACCCCCCCACCCAGCTTGTCCGTTCAGCCCCTTGGTGTGTTTCAGTGGGACGCCTTTCAGGCTGAGCTAGACCAGCGCGGCTGCTCTCTGCTAGAAGAGCCTTGATCTTTTAAATAAAAGCATCTGTTCGCATAAGAGGGTGAGCTCCGGGCTAGGAGCCAGGCTCCAGGCTCTGTTCCCCACGCTGCCGCTTCACCTCGGCTTCGGTCACCCCATCTGTAAGGAGAGAGAGAGCACCTCGGCGGCCGTGGTAAGGTTAGACGTGAGGAAGGCGTTGCTATGAACGTCGTCAAGGAGAGAAGTTGGAGATCGCTTCTCGTAGCGAAGGGAATAGCTGGGTCACGGCTGCTTCTGTCCACCTGCTGTCTGCAAATATAAACACACACACACCCCCCCCCGCCGGCTCCCTCGTGGGTGAATTTGCCAAAGAGCGCCTCCGGGTCCCTGCTGCTTCTGTACAACCTGTGTGGCCTGTTCTGGGACCCACGCCACTTGTTTGAAAGCATTTTCGGTTTGCTCAGAACAACCTCCCTGAACTTGGGCATCTGATCTGGGACCGGCTGCTCCCATTCCAAGGGGGAAACCAGGCTAGGTTATTCCGCCTGAGTTCTCCTGTTCAGCTGCCAGATCGGAGCAGGGGAAATATTGCCACGTCTCGGTGCTCTCCCTCCTGGTAACTCGCAGGAGTCTGGTATCAGACCCTTCTGGTCGGCACTGACAGCGGCTGGATATTGACCCCTGGGTTTCTAGATACTAACTGGCCTAAAGTGATTCCTCCTTTGGGGAGCTGAGTTAAGAGCTGCATCTGTCCAAGCCGAGGTTTGCGTCTCGGTCTAACTGCATCCATACTGCGGGGAGATAAGCGATACCGTCTGTCAGTACAACCCTACCCTGGTAGAAGACCAGCGTGTAGGCCAGGGCTAACCCGTCTGCAGTGGGGAGAGGAGACGGGCACAGAGTGACACTTCCCGCTCCATGGATAGCCCAGCGGAGCCTAGATTCTCTGTTCCTCCCCCCCGCCTAGAGCTCAAACTTCAGTGCACCACGACCCCCTTTGGACAACACAAACGACTACATGACGCGGGGGGAGCCCAAGCCCCGTTGCCCTGGGCTGAAGCCCTCCGGCAGCAGGGCTCACACTTAGGCTTCAGCTCCAGGCCCCAGCTAATCTAACGCTGGCCCTGGTGACCCCATTAAAATGCAGTTATGACCCACATTTTGAGACCCGCTGGACTAGGGCGACTTGACCCACCACATGGTCTCAATATCTGCTTCAGCGTGGGGTTTCTGGAAGCATCCCGAAGCGCTGCTTCTCTTCCCTGGGGTTCTCTTGGGCCCGAGAGCAGATATGCTCCTGAGGCAGGTTCCCACCCTCTCTCGCCTTGGAGAGGACAAACCTTGGTGGGTGACTCAGTAAGCGGCACTCACTGCCCCAGGGCAGGCTCTTTGACATGCAGAAAGTGCTGGGCTGGCTACAAGGGAAAACATGCTAGACTAGTTAGGCTGGGAAAATGCCACCCCCCCCCCTCCCCCCCCCCCCCCGCAAGCCAGCCATAAGGCCTGGCTTCCTGTTCTCAGTAGCCATCCCCTGACGCTCCTCACCAGAGCAGGAGTGTTGAATCTGAAAGCTCTGCTCTCGGAGCGATTTGTGGGGCAGCGTTCTGGCCGCTGTGCTGCAGGAGCTCGCGATCCGTGGTCCCTTCTGGTCTTGGAATCTATGAATCCGACTCGGCTCCTCCTTGGAATTTATCTTCCGCCTCCCTGGATCCCAGGTGGCTCCAGTTTTCCATATTGTTTCTTTAACCTCCGTGTTACCGTTCCTGTGTGCTGTGACCCAGCTGCTGTTTTCCACCCCAGAAGTGGCTCCCTCTTAGGGCAAGTCTACACTAAAATGCTGCATCGGCGCGCGCGCGCCGACAGGAGAGAGCTCTCCGGCGGCATAGTGAATCCACCTCCCCAAGAGGCTGTAGCTATAGCAAGGGGAGAAGCCCTCCCAGCCACATAGTGCTGGCTACACGGGGCGGGAGGTAGGCGTGTACGGCGACATTGCTTGGGGGGGTGTGTGTGGATTTTTCACATCCCCGAGTGATGGAGTTATGCTGATATAGGTCTGTAGCCTAGACCTTAGTGGCCGCTGATGTTCTCCCGTGTCGGTTTCTAAAGCCCTTGGACCCCCTTTTGCACACAAGGTTTGATGTGCACGTTGAGACGTTTGCATAGCTGGGATCATTCCCCTGTTCCCTGCAGCTAAACGCATCCCCCGACTCGCTGTTCCTGGCCGTTTTCCTTGCGCCGCTTGAGGCGAGCAGGATGTTCCAAACCATTGAAGGAGGGAACAGCAGAAGCCGTCCTGAGCAGAATCCCAAACTAGCCCGGCGTGTACAGAACAAATAACCAGGTTTTTGTTCCCCGGCCACTTGTGCCAGGATTTTGGCATTGCCGGGCCAACTCGAAACACGCTTGCTTGTGTGGGGGGCCGCACTGAAGTTCTGGGTTTGCAACAAGAACTCCGACTCTAGCAGCAGCCCCGAACCTGTCCGCTTAGCGCTTCCCCCCCGCCCTGGGCGGGATCCCAGAGAAAAGGACCCCTCCTTCCCCAGGCATGATTTTCCAATAGCAGTAGCACAAACCCATTGCTGTATAGCTGAAAACTGCCACCACCCCCACAAGAAGGGGGGGGGGGGGGCGTTACTAGTGACTCAATGTCCTAGCATCTCATTAGCCAGCTCCCAAATGTAACTAGCCTTGTGTTTGGGGGCCACTTAGTGTCATTTAAAGGCAGCGTTTCAGTCCCCGAGTGACATGCTCCGAGGGTAAACAGCAGCTTCCGGAAAGATTTTTTATTTTTCTCCATAAGCATGTCTGCATTTTACTGAACCCAGGGGACGTTCTGCTAACTGGGCCCTACGCGGGCAATGGGCAGCCCTGAGCTCGGGGGCTCGGCTGTTACACTCCAGCGCTAAAGGACCCAGCCGGTCTCTCTCCCTGATCCCATCGCTGGGGATGCAGCCTGCAGGTATTCAAGGCCGCTCACCCAGCAGGATTGGCTGGCTCCGAACCTGCACGGTGCCCTCCCCCACCCCTGCCTACGCCAAGCTAGGAATGACTCATGCTGCTCTCTCAGCTGTAACTGACAGGAACAATCCCGCTCTTGCCAAGCGTTGTGCGGATGCTACTGCCGCGCCAAGGGGGGTGTGGTAGGGGTATGCCCGTAACTGGAGAGAGAGTGACCGAATCAACCACGCTCCTGACGGAGTGAGAGGTGGAAGCAGCTTTCCTGGGGCGTGATCTGCACAAAGCAAAACGAAATGGCCCGTTTCCTCCTGGCCTGGCGTCGCTGACCCAGAGAGAGGAGGCGGCGGAATTTCAATGTGTTTTCTTTGTCCGGTGCACCCACCTCCTGGACAAACTGCTCTGGCTCCAATAACTCCCCGAACTGGAGCTTTGCTTCCACATTCCCAATCTTGGACCCGGTCAAAGCTGTGCTGTCTGGTTCACCTGCTTGCAGCAGAGGGAAATATTGGGATGGGGGTGGGGAGGGGGCGTGAGGACACCCTGGTATGATTGTTTCCCTGCTGGGTGTCAGCCAGGTGATGTTGACCTGCCTAGTGTAACACCTGACATAGGCTGTGGATCTTGTGCTCCATGTCACTGCCAGGCTAACGTGTAAGAGGCCCCCCTCTCTCTCTCTTTGCAGAATGCACCATGTATCTTCTTTGCTGCCCGACACGCCAGCTCTACTTCCACGGTAAGTAGAGACCTCTGCCTCTCGTCTCGGGGGGGTGCATGTCCCTGGCTTCTCCAGTCCAGCGGCTCCAGTGCTGCTCATGTCCTCCCCCCAAAGGGAAACCACCCCAGAGCCGCCGTTCAAATCCTGTCGCTGTCTGGCCTCCTTCGGAGGGATTTCTGTGCAACGCAAACCAGAGACCCTAACGGGCTCCGAGGTACCCTCCCTCCAAAGCAGTGCTGGGGTTGGCGATGCTAAGCTCCGCCGTGGGGCAGTGCTGCCCCTCACCAGCTCTCTTGTTTCTCCCCCCGACATACAGAACCTGAAAGACGTCCTGGCCAACTTGGTTCCCAAGGAGCAGTCGAGAATCAAGAGCTTCAGGCAGCAATATGGCAACACGGTCATCGGGCAAGTCACTGTGGAGATGGTGAGTGCGGCCGGCGCGGGCCGGCTCATGCGGTCTCAGTTGAGTTGGGGCTGGCGCTGGGCTGTGTGGACACCTTGTTCTCTCCCTCACCCTAGAGGGAGTGACCTTTACCCATAAACCCTGCGCCAGGCAGCCAGCCTAGCCCAGTGCCGCCCCCTCCCTGCCACGCTGGATCAGTTCCACAGGCCCGTCTCGGCAGGCTCCCTTTCTTCCTGGATGGGCCCGCTGGGGTGTCTAATCTGGTGCTCCGCCCTGGCCATGGCCAATAGCTGCTTCTAAGCCGTGTGGAAGCCCCCTTGGGTCGCAGTGGCCCCGATGCACTGCTCTGGGCTGGGCACTCTGCTGGCGGTCGCTTTGCGCCTGGAAATCGAGGTGCGATCGCTGTGTCCTTAGCGAGCACAGCGTGAGACGGGGCGTTACCCAGGCAGGGTATGGAAATGGGACGGTGGTAGCCCAGAGGCCTGCCCTGGTTCATACGGCGCAGCCTGGCAGCTCCACAGAGAGGTGGCCAGGGCCGTAACACAGCTGGGCTTGCGGGGTTGAGATCCAACCATCGGTGCTGCCGGAGACCCAGCCAGGCGGTTCAAAGCAGCACTGGGATCCCCGTGGAGCAGCATCTCTCCCTGCACCGGTCCCGCAGGGCCTGTGCTCAGGGGAGAGCAGAGCTGTGGCGGACGGTGAAATCAGCGCTGGTGCCGAGAGGGGCCGCTCTGCTCCCCGGCAGCGGGGAGACGACTCTGGCTGCAGCGAGCAAACTCCTGCCCTTAGCGCCCGCTGAACCCCGCTAACTGCCTCCCGGCTCTGTCCCTTCCAGGTGTACGGCGGGATGAGAGGCATGAAGGGGTTAATATCCGCGCCCCCGGCCCGGGCCCCCGTTGGGGTAAGCCCCCGCCCGCCCCCCCCCCGCCCCCCCCCCCCCCAGGCCGCCCCCTCTCCTCAGAGACTGATTCCCTTCTCCACCCTTCTCTCCAGGGCATCCGCTTCCGTGGGTACAGCATCCCCGAGTGCCAGAAGCTGCTGCCCAAAGCCCCAGGAGGGGAGGAGCCCCTGCCCGAGGGCCTCTTCTGGCTGCTGCTGACCGGAGACATCCCCACGCAGGAACAGGTGAGGCGGGGGGGCTCTGGCCGTGGCTCTGGGCTCTGTGACTTAAGCCCCGATCTCTCGTGGCCTCGCCAATGCTGCCGCAGCCTGTTCTCGGCTCCTGGCCTGGCCTGCCAGCCCCGGTGGGGCCAGGCAGCCTGCGCCCCCAGCCCCTTGGCGCTCCCCGGCTAACCCCGTGCGGTGTTTCCTCCCTCAGGTGAGCTGGGTCTCTCAAGAGTGGGCCAAGAGGGCGGCTCTGCCCTCCCACGTGGTGACCATGCTGGACAACTTCCCCACCAACCTGCACCCCATGTCCCAGCTCAGCGCCGCCATCACCGCCCTCAACAGCGAGAGCAGCTTCGCCCGGGCCTACTCCGAGGGCATCAACCGGGCCAAGTACTGGGAGGTAGGGGGCTAGGCCTGTGAGCTGTGCTGGGATGTGCCCCGCTGAGGCCAGGCCCAGCTGGGCACCCTGCTGCCCACGTTGGGCCATGGAGAGCGTCTGGCCTGCAGCCCGGCAGCCGGCGAGAGCCGACCTCCCGACACCAGCGGCTGGAAGCTGCAGCGTGGGTGGGTCTGGGGAAAGGGCACGGCTGGCTCTGCCGCTGACTCCCTCTGGGGCCTCGTCCAAGTCACGTTCCCCTCTGCCTCAGTTTGCCCACCTGTACAATGGGGCTAGTGCTGGGCTGGAGGACGGAGCAACGCTTGCACAGGGCCGGCTGCACCCGTCCTTGTAAGGCAGCCGAGCTGGTTTCCTCTCGGCCCAACCCCCTGGCATCAGAGCGGAGAATCTCTGGCCTCTGGGTGTGTAACAGTGTATTATCTGGAGCCCGTGCCGGAGGGACGCCGGCTGTCTGGGCGGGTGAGTCTGTGGCTTCTCCGCCTCACTGCCCTCCAGTATCTTTCCCTGCCCGTTACCGTCCGTCCGAATTACCCAATTTCCCCTGCAACTGGCACGGTTGGCACCACCCCTCCTCCAGCCTACGGATGGGTAAAGCGAGCTGCTCGCCCAGGGTGGCGCGGTCAGGGGCCTGGTTCTCCATTTCCTGCTCAGAGCACTGGGATGTGTCGGGATTTAACCCCCCGCTATAAACATGGGCTGCTGCATCACTGAAACGCAGCCACCTCTGGGGTGGGACAAGGCAGCCTTCAAACAGCAGCCCCTGTGCGCATCCGGGACGGCGCACGGTCCCTCTGTTCCGCACACCCCCGTTTGCTCGCGTGGCCCGAGGAAGCTGGGCAGGCCAGGAGCAAAGCGGGAGGAGCCTGGGGATCCCTGGCCGAGCCGGGCTCCTGCTGCCCTCGGTGAGCAGCCCGCCTTCTCCCCGTCCCCGCAGTTCATCTACGAGGACTCCATGGACCTGATCGCCAAGCTGCCTTGCATCGCCGCCAAGATCTACCGCAACCTGTACCGCGAGGGCAGCAGCATCGGGGCCATCGACCCCAGCCTGGACTGGTCCCATAACTTCACCAACATGCTGGGCTACAGCGACCCACAGTTCATCGAGCTCATGCGGCTCTACCTCACCATCCACAGGTGCGAACCGGGGGCCGGGAGGGGCTGCGGCTGGGAGCGAGGTTGGCGTGGGGGCCGCCCTGGGGAGAGGCAGGAGCGTCCCTGCGCGGGAGGAGGAGGCCGGAACTCCAGAGCCCTGTAAACAGGGCAGAGGGGAGCCCTGCCCCGGTCGGCAGAGCTCAGGCAGGTCGGGCTCTGAGCCCCCCGCAGTTCAGCGCAGGCCGGGGTGGAACCGGGGCGGGGCTCTGAAGGCTGAAGCTGCTTTCTGGGAGAGCTGGATCCAGCCTCCCCATCCCACAGCAGCCCCCCACCCTGAGAGAAGCTGCTCCCTGAATTGGCCGGGCGGGCTGGCAGCCCCCCCAGCTCAGGCAGTAGGTCGGCTGCCGCCCTCTGCTAACCGTCTCCTCCCTGCAGTGATCACGAGGGCGGGAACGTCAGCGCCCACACCAGCCACCTGGTGGGCAGCGCCCTCTCCGACCCGTACCTCGCCTTCGCCGCGGCCATGAACGGCCTGGCTGGGCCGCTGCACGGCCTCGCCAATCAGGTAGGGGTCGCGTGGCCTGCGTGGTGGGGGGTGGGGAGAGGGGGACACGGTCCTGGCCTCACCCCCGTGTCCCCTCTCGGCGCAGGAGGTGCTGGTGTGGCTGACGAACCTGCAGAAGGAGCTGGGCCAGGACGTGCCTGATGAGAAGCTGCGAGATTTCATCTGGAACACGCTGAACTCCGGCCGGGTGAGTCCCCCTGGGCCGCGGGAGCAGTGCTGAGTCTGGGCGACTGCCCCCCCCCGCCCCCCATCGGCGCTAACCCCAGGCCTCCTGTCGCCGCAGGTGGTCCCCGGCTACGGCCATGCCGTGCTGAGGAAGACGGACCCCCGGTACACCTGCCAGCGGGAGTTCGCCCTCAAGCACCTCCCCAAGGACCCCATGTTCAAACTGGTGGCGCAGCTCTACAAGATCGTCCCCAACGTGCTCCTGGAGCAGGGCAAGGCCAAGAACCCCTGGCCCAACGTGGACGCGCACAGCGGGGTGCTGCTGCAGGTAAGGCGCCAGCCCCCTCGGGGCTGCTGGTGAGGGGCGGGACCCCCCCCCCCCCCAGCCCTGCTCTGCCCTGGCCCCTCCAGCTCGCCCTCCCCAGGCTCAGCAGTCGAGACTCTGAGCCCCCCGTGACCCCAGCCACACCCTGGCATTGGGAGCCAGCCCAGCCCAGCCGCTCCCAGTGACCACAGCCCCCAGGGCCCAAGCATCTCCCAGGCCCAGATCCTGGGGGCTGCTGGGCACTGGCCTAACCCCCCCGCCCCGCTCCTCTCCCCTCTGCAGTATTACGGCATGAAGGAGATGAATTACTACACGGTGCTGTTCGGCGTCTCGCGGGCCCTGGGCGTCCTGGCCCAGCTCATCTGGAGCCGGGCGCTCGGCTTCCCGCTGGAGAGACCCAAGTCCATGAGCACGGACGGCCTCATGCAGCTCGTGGGCTTCAAATCGGGTTAAAGGAAGGGATGGGATTGGGGGGGGGGGGGAGCCTGCGCTTGCCAGCTGTCCAGGGGCCGTTTAAAGAGACAGTACACCTTTTCCCTTCCAAGGGCCTCGGCCAGACGCTAGAATTAAACCTTTCTCTGAGGCACTGACCATAAGTTTCAGGTTATTTATGGTGTAAATTAAAATTAAAACAATCAGCCCCCTTCCTATCTCCCCCAATCCGCCTGCCGCCATTAGCGGCACCTCTGTTAAACTCCTGAGCCAAGCAGAGCCCAGCCACCTTTCTCTCCCCCCGCCCCCCCCCGCACAGCTTTCTAGGCCAGCCCGCTCTAGCCCCCCGGCCAGGAGAGGAGGGTCCTTTCCCAATCATGTACCGTGCTGAGTGCTGCCTTGTCCATGTCGCAGCCCCATAGCCAGACAAGCTCCTAGGCCCAGATCAAACCTGCTCGCTTAGCCCTGAGAGGGGGGTTGGCGTGTGAACGCTTGAATCGCTTCCTTTGCCTTAGTCCTCCTCTCCTGCCACCTTGAGTCGGGGGCCGGGGCATCTCTGGGCTTTTCCTCCTCCCGGGGCGGGGCCTGGGGCACCCTTGCTGTACACCAGGGGCATGGACCCTTTCTCATCCCACCCCCCTGTAAGTCCTCCCCTAGGGCCTTCCCTGGCTCGCTGCTGCAGGGGCATTGCTGGCTGAGACTCGGCTCCTTGCTCCCAGCAGGGGCCAGGCCTTCCCCTGAGCCCCACTGCTGCCTAGGGGGAAAGTGGGGCAGGGGAGGGGAAAGGCTTCCCCTCGGCGTGGCGGCCGGGCCAGAGCCGTAGGGCTGCGGGGGGTAGCCCGGCCGCGCGAGGACGTGATTCCCTGGGCAGCAGGCACTAGCTACGGGGCCGTGCTGCTAGCCACCTTTTTGAGCAGTTGCAGTGCAAAAGTGACCCTGGCTCGTGCCCTGTCTCCCGAGGAAGGACGCGATACACTCCTCCCCGACCCCGGTTCTGTGTGTGGTTGTGTGAATGCCCGTGTCCCCTAACCGCCCCCGGGGCGCCGGGCGGGCTCCGGCCGCGGCCTGGCGCAGCCTGCGGGTGGCTCTGTACAAAATGCAAAATAAATGTTTTTATTAACAAAACTGCTTCCCCGGTGTGTCAGAGGCGCCAGCGGGCAGGATGCAGCCCCGGCCTGGCCATGGGGGGGGCCCCACTGCTGGGGAGGGGCCCTGGGGTTCGGATCCTCAGCTGAGGGGTGATTTCCCCAAGTGGTTCTGGGCCTTATGCCACCAGCTGGGCATGTCCCCTCCTGCGGGGCAGCAGCCAGGCCCCGAGTAGCGCTGTGAGCCCCCCTTGCGCCAGCAACCTCACGCTCTAGGTGCCGTTTCCCACATGTCCACACGAGGGCGCCATTATCCTTCCCCAGGCTCTGGGTCCCTCTGAATGGGGTGGGGGCTGCGGGGAAGGTCCCGGAAGCTGGCCCCAGCTGAGAACAGCGTAGTCCTGGCATTATGGCCTGGAAGTTAGGAGTTCAAATACTGCCCCAGTGCCCGGCAGCCAGGGCAGGCTGCTAACCCGGGGGGTGGAACTGACCTCCCCTGCCAGTCGCTGCTTTGTGCTGAGGCCCGGAGCAGCCCCTGCAGCCTGGCTCTGACCGCCAGCCCAGCCCAGGGTTAGCAGAGCAGCCACCTGAGCAGTGCCCTGTTGCTCCACCCTGGGGCTTTCCCGGCCTGCCCCGCAGGGCAGCGGGGGGCTGGGGAGGGAGCTGGGCCCAGGGAGCCGGTGCCACCTCTCCAGCCCTGCAGGGGGCGGGGGCTTCTGTCCCCCAGGGACCCCCAGCCAGCTTTTCACAGCTGCAAAAGCCCCTACTGCTGTTCCCACAACCCACCTGTTCCCTGCTTCCCTACCTGCAGGGGCCGGGACTCTTCCTGGGGGCCTGCCCCCGAACCCACGTGAAGCTGCCCCAGCTGAACGGGGCTCCCCAGCCCATGTGAAACGGACGCGCTCGCCCAGCATGGGATGGAACACGAGGATCTGGGCCCGGCTCTCCCTGGGTTGGGCCTGGAAAGCCACAGGCCTGGCCTGCTGCCAGGGGCCGGTGCTTTCCCCAGCCCCCGCTCCGTGCCCCCAACGGGCACTGCGGCAATGATGCTGGAACAACGGTCCCAGAAGGTTCCTGTAACTAGAGCCTGTGGGGCTGGGGGTGAGCCGGGGCCGGGTGATGCCAGGGGGGCCGCCCCCCCCCCCCCCCCCCAGTGCAAAAGTCCAGCAGCCCGGCAGCTGTGGCCGTGTCCGGCATTTCAGAGGGCAGAGCCCGAGCTCTGTCTGCTGCTGGAGCAGCCCCCACTCCCTGCAGGCCTTGCCCCCCATCATCCCAGCTTGGAGGGAGGTGCCCCAGGGGTCAGGGCATCTCAGACCCTTGTGAGGCCTGGGGCCAGGCTGATGCGACCCCCAGCTGCTCCCCAGCCCTTTCTCCTGCCTTGGCCTGTGCCTAAAGGGCAGGGCAGGTGGAAGGAGACCTTTGTTTTCTGGCCTGCATGAGCCTCTCCCACTATCCCGCAGCAGCAGCCCCCGTGCTGGGCTTGAGTAGCGATAAATCGGCCTTGGGCTGGGATTTAATGCAGCACGACTGGGCTGGGACGTGTGCACCAGGCCGGGGGCTGAGCTGGGGGAATTGCACGCGGGGGGGCTGTGTTGCATTTGTCCCGGCTGCCAGCTTGTCTCTGTCTCCCCTCGTGGCAAACGAGGGCCGAGGCCCCTCCGGCTGCGGCAGGCCCCGCACGTGGGCTCAGCTTTCCCTGGCGGCAGGAGCCCGCCCGCCATGGCTCCGGCTTGCGGCAGACCCCGTGGTTGGATCAGTCGCGCTTGGACCCCACTGGGGCTGGAGAGCAGCCTGCCGGCGCCAACGCAGAACGAGCCTGCGCTGAGAGCCTGGGCAGACCCACAGCCCAGAAGGGGCACCACCCCCAGGGCTGAGCCCTGCTGGGGGGCGGCCCTGGCTCCTTCCCCCAGCATGCTTTGCTGCAGCCAGCCCTTTAAAGCCGGGCAAGCCAACCAGCAGCAGTCCTACGGGGGCACCTCCAGCTGGTGAGGGCCGGGGCGGCAGCCACACGCTAAGGAATGAGACCGTGAAGCCAGCCCATGTCGCCGTGTGAGGTGGGTGCAGGGACCAGGGATCAGCACAGCTGTGGCTAGCGAGGGGGGTGGGACCAGGCGGGGCTGGCCCAGTCTCCCTGTGGGCCAGGGCCTGCACTTACCCATCTCCCAGAGGGCAGAGACACTGGTGCTTGGAGAACCACAGGGAAAGGCCTGAGGCTGGCGTGGCTGCAGGACAGACAGCACAGTCATGAGTGGGCATCTGGGACGTGCCCTGCTGTGCAGCGGGTGCCCAGGGCATGCTGGGCATGAGGGCAGATGTGGTGCAAAGCCAGCGGCAGCAATGCTGAGCGGAAAGGGCCCGGCCAGCCAGTGAGCACCAGGCCCACAGGGCGGGCCCCACGTACCCCCTGCCCCGAGTCCAGATGAGAAATACCCCAGCCCAGGTGGCCCACAGGAGCCAACCTCTCAGGTGACACCGACCCGCAGAACCCAGCCCCGGAGCCACCGCAGACACCCTGAAGGAGGCAGCGAGCCCGCTTGCCAAATGCTTTTTATTGGCCTAAAAAACCCACTTCTCTGGGCAGGAAATTTCAACAGAGTCTCTCGGCTGGAGACAAAACTCCCACGGGAGCACACGGAGGAGGTGGCTGCATCCCAGCTCTGAGATGGAGGCTGGGGGGGGGGGGTGTTCCCCCCTCACCCCTGCATCAGATTGATTCCCCCCCCATGTGCGTTTCTCTCAGTGAGCCGGCAGAGGGCAGCCTGGGGGTCAGGCTGAGAAGGGAGCAGGCGGAAGGCACCGTACAGAGCAGGGCCCAGCTGCAGCCCCCACTCAACATCTCCTGGGCCCTGGAGACGGGGGAAGCGGGTGGGGGAGCCCGGCTGGAAGCAAAGGGTTAAGGGCAGGGATTCAGGCCAGAGGCCTGGAGCAGACGCTTCGCAGCCGGCCCAGCGCTCGGACGTGGGTGGCAGGTGGCCCCCGGCAGGGGAAGCCGCGCTGCTGGCGACAGATGCCCAGCGGTGCCAGTGCCCCGGGCTACCCCCCAGTTCTGGAGACAGGTCCCCTCAGAGGCCATTCAAGCCATTACTGTGGTAACGACTCCCATGCCATGGGCGTTGCCCAGCCCCACTAGGCATTCGGGCTGAACGAGACGCAGGGCCCAACCGCCCCCTTCCATCACTGCCGTGACCCACATGCTGCCTGCTCAGCCTCCCGTCGCCACCTCCCCCCAGAGCCGCGGGGGGAAGCTCTGAACACGCTTTGCAGTGGCACGCCCCGGGCGGTCTCTGCGCCCAGCCTCTCGTGCGAGGGCAGCGTGCAGCAGCCGGGATCCCTCCCCCACTCGGTGCAGTTACACTGGTGCAAACTCAGTGCAGCCGGCCTGGGGCTGGCGGTTCTGCCTCGCCCGCGGGTCTTGTATGTAACGCCGGCTCCTTTGCACAGCAGGAGGGGCCGGGGCGCAGAGTCTGCGGCAAAGCAGGCCGCAAGGCGCTGGGCCTGGGTGCTTGGCGCTGGGATGTGGGGCGAGGGAGAGAGCCAGGCTCTGCTCCCCCTAGCGGGCAGCTCCCATGGGGACACGGGTTGGCTGTGGATCGGGCCACACGTTGAGCGAAGCTGCAGCTGCTTTCAAGGTGACGGGGCCCTTTCTAGGCAGGATCCACCCCCCAGCGCGCCGCAGGCTCCGGGGCCTCCCTCTGCTGGCGGAGGACAATGGGGCTCTGTTCACTTATCTCCCGCAGCGTTCGCCGAGCCAGCCCAGGGGCACGCTCCCCAGACAGCGCTGCTGTGTGCCTGGGCGGGGAGGGGGGGAGCAGCAGTGTTCTCACCCCTCCCTGCCCTGCTCACAGCACGGCTGGGGGGCTGGCCAAGGAGGGCTCTGCTGTGGGGCCCCAGCCCCTGGGACCTTGCTCCCCCCACCTAAAGCCTTCCACTACCAGCTGGAGGGGAACCCCCCCCAGACGCTTCTCCAGCTCCTGCTGACACCCCCCGGGCTTCTGGGAGCTTTGGAGGGGAGAGGGGAGGTTCCCCCCTCCCCCCAGAAGCGGGAGGGGAGGCTCCAGCATCTGGGACTCTGCGTCCGTGCGTGGAAAATCAGCCTCCAGCCTTCCGTTGCCAGGGCTTCCCTAGGGCCGGGTGCCCAGTGGGCATCACCTCTGCCCCCCACCCCATGGAGCCTCCGGGCCACCTCCATCCTGGGTCACTCAGGCAGGCTCTATCTCCCACCCGTGGGGCTCTCCCAAGGGAGACGGGGGCCAGCAGCCCCGCTGCCAGCGCTGTGGGGGCCTGGCTGTGGCCGTGCTATCTCCCTCCCCAACGAGGGCCCGGGGAGCGCTCCCTCCCTCCAGGGCGAGCTCAGCGAGATCCCACCTGCAGGGCTGGTGGAGCAGCTGCCCTCCGAGTCCCATGCTGCCCTCCGGGCACTTGCCCCATGCCCTGCCCTGCCCGCTCATTCCCACCGTCTGCCAGGCAGTGCCCCCGCCCCTTTCCGCAGGCCCCGCATAATGTGACACTTCCTCTCGGTGCTCGCTTCCAGACCGAACGCAACTCCCCTCTCACTCCCACGCAGCCACTGTAACGCTGGCTAGGCACCCTTCTCTGCGCTCAGCACCCCTGGGACGGGGAGAAGGTTCTGATCCGTTTCCCACACCCTGCCCCTGACCGCAGATAGGCGAGCCGAGACCCCGATCGTCCAGTCCACGCGCACACTGCCTCGGCCCCGCCCGGGGGAAAGGCAGTCCGACCAAGGGGGGGCTGGCCCACGCAGCCCTGCTGGTTTCTGCCGTGAGGGCAGCACAGGGGGAAAGACGAGAATTGCTGGCGATCAGGAAGGGGCAGGGACCGCTCTTCCCTGCTTGGAGGGATGTTAAACAAGACCCCGCCCCCAAAATAAAATAAGTTTAAAATAAAATTAGCTACAAAAATATGGAGCCGGACGGGCCGGTGCGGTTCGTCTGTGCGAGACGGCAGGCAGGGGCCGCTCTGGGGCAGCCAGACCCAGCCGCTCTGGGTACGTCCCCGTTCTCGGCACACCGGGCCAGCAGATAAATTAGAGAGACCGTCAGGAGAGGTGAAATCAAATAAATAGTTAAAAAGGCGGGGGCAGGGCGTCCGAGCGCCTCCCGCCGCCCCGGCACAGTCTGCACGTGCGGCCCCAACCCCCTCACGTTTGGTGAACTTCGTGAAACATGAGCTCCCGGGGGATGCGCGTCTCCGGGCCGAAGTTCTTGGCCGCCCGCCGCTCGAAAGCTGCCACCATCTGCTTGACCACCTCGTCGAAGAAGACCGTGGCAAGCTGCGAGTGCAGCAGGGAGCGGAACTCGAAGGAGATCTGGGGAGGAGAGAGAGATGAGGGGCTGGCGGGGTAGGGCAGGCCGGGCCAGAGCCCCCCCTGGACAAAGGGCAGCGGGACGGGGCTGCCCCTGTTCCACACTGTCCAGCGGGGAACCTGCCCTCCTCGGCAGCACGTAGCGAATAGTCACCTCCACACAAACCCCGCGGCCCACTGGGGAAACTGAGGCCAAGAGAGAGGCTCACGCAGCAAGTCACTGACAGAGCCAGGAGGAGAACCCAGGAGTCCTGACTCCCAGGCCCCGCCTCTCAGACAAATGTGCCCAGGTGGAACATTTGCTCCTGCTTCTCTCTCCCTCGAGACACGAACAGCAGTCGCTCAGTGGCTGAGGGCAGCATTTCGCCCCCTGCTTACCTCCTCCTCGAGGCTAATGACCTGGGGACAGGTGCTTCTAACAGCATGGGCTGGCTGGCCGGCAGCCACCTCTCCAGTCCATCCCCAGTGGATTCACCGCGGGGATGACTCCACGTGGCGACTGGGTGGGGCGGGGAATGGGAGAGGGCAGGCTGGGGGGGGCTTACCGAGAAATCCACCGTGCAGGTGCGGGGGTAGCCTGGGATGCCCGGGCTGAAGCGCCAGCTGGTCTCCAGGTGGTTGAAGAGCCTCCCGTCAGTGCAGATGGCCTGAGAAGGGACAGCAGGAGCATCAGTCGAGGGGCTTTGCTACCAGAGCGCTGGGAAGCCAGGCTCCCTGGGGGGGCTGAGCGCCCCCACCCCGAACTGTTCCATCCCCGCACATCCCCCACCCTGAGAATCCCCGGCAGCCTCACCTTGACCAGGTGCGGGCGCACCAAGGTGATGATGGAGGTGTATCTCTCCAGCACGGGCGGGAAGCCCACTTCCAGCTGAGCCTTCACGTGGCCCGTGCGCTTGGAGACCACCACCGACTTCTTGCACCAGGGGACAAAGTGCTTGTAGTCATCCACGTTGGACACCACCTCGTACATTTCCTGCATGGAGTACCTGCCGGGGGGAGACGCCTGCGCTGACTCGGTGCTGCCGTCCTGCAGGCACAGGGCAGCTCGGGGACGGGCTAGGGAACCGGGCACCTCCACCACCATTAATGCCCCCCTCCCCCCTGCACGTGCAATGAGTTTCATGGGTCTCAATCCGGTTCGCACTGCCCACGTCACGTCACAGACAGGTCGAAGCTTGACCGAGGCCTGGAGACCAAACTCCCCTTTTGCCACCAGCGCTGGGGCAAGCAGGGGAAGGACGCAGCATGCTGGAGCGTGCAGGGAAAGCCCCATCCCCCTCTGGGGGAACACAGCCAATGCCACTTACCCTATAATCCTCCTCTCCGAATACTCCTTCCTTTTGTTGGTGAAAGGCCCCGTGAGGTTGATGAAGGTGCGGCTGTGCGGGCTGCAGGGGCCCCAGTCCAGGCTGTTTATTGCCCAAGGCACGCGGCTCAGCAGAATCCCGCAGACAGACACGGCCCTGCAACTGGAAACGGGTCGGGGTTAGCAGAGACCGACCGGCGCCCGCCTGGCCAGGCAGAGGAAGGGAGCGAGGTGCTACTCCCCTTCGAGAGGTCACCTGAGGCTGAGACTAGCTAGGCCCAAAGCCACTAAAGCAGAGTGGGGCTGTGGGAGACGAAGGCGGCGAAACACCCTCCCCAGCCAGGACGAGGCAATTCCCTCTCGCATGCCAATCCCGTTCCCCTGGGGATGTATCGGCCCCTACGTGCTGTATGGCCACGCTGCGTGCTGCGATCGCTTCACCGCTCCCATGCGGCCACCGCTGGGTTGGGACCTGGCAGCGGTTTAGTGACGCAGCAACTCTACCGACCAGTTTGTGGCAGGGAGCGACGCCGACTCCCGTATCACAGTGAAGGTGCCGCTGACGCCTGCTCCCACCAAGGGGATGTTTAATGAGCTACTCCTGGGGGAATCCTGCTCCACTGCACGTGCGCAGAATTTATGTCCCCCCGCAGATTTCTTTGCTTCCCCGCAGAAAAATTACTTTCTGATAGGGAAGCAAAGGGAGGCCACAAGAGCAGTCATGTGACCCTCCTCATCAGTATGTTTCAGGTGCCCAGGACAGCCGGCAGAGAGGTAAATCACTGTGAGGCAGTGGGCAAGACTGGGGAAGACCCGGCTGGTGGCTCCTACCCTGCGCCGGGCTCAGCTGCTAGTCCTGTCTGGGCTGTGGAGGATGGGACTTCCTCTGCCCCTGCACGGCATCCGGGGGCCGTGTCGGACCCACCCCCAGATTTCTCCCCCAGCTGGTAGGAAGCTCTGCAACGCCCCCCCTTCACTTCCTGTACCCATTGCTCCTGAATTGCAGGGGGAGGGATCACTTTTCAGGGAGCTGCTCCCCCATCCGTCTAACATCCATGCATCCAAACCCCCTCATACCCAGACCCTCCCACTGAGCCTCACCCCCCTCACCCCCCCAACGATGAGCCCCACTCCCCCTGCACCTGGACCACCCCGACAAGCCACCCGCACCTGGATCCCTATTGTACCAACCCCACCCCCTCAGCATCTGGACCCCACTACTGAGTCCCCCACACCCAGACCCCCTGACAAGCTCTATCCCCACCATACCCAGACCCCCCCGCTGAGCACCAGCCACCTTCACCTGGACCCCCATCTTCACCTGGACCCCCCTGCAGAGTTCCATTACCATTGCACCCAGAGACCCCCAACAAGCCCCTGTGCAACCAGATCCTCCTGCACCTGAATCCCCCACTGAGCCACACGCACCCAGATTGCCCCACACAGAACCCTCTCAACCAACATCTGGATCCCCCCACACTGTGCCCCTCCACACTTGGATCCCGCCTTGATGTGCCTGCCTGCCCACACCTGGTACACCTGGCACAGAGGGTCAGGACCCTGGGGTGTTTCTGGGGCAGGCCCAGTCCTTGCGCTGTCTGGGTTGGGTGCAGCCTCATCGCTGAGTCCGCGTCCTGGGGGGGAAGCTGAACAGTGATCTCCCACCTCCGTGCAGCCAGTGGCCTGTGCTCCCCAAGGCCATGCTGGAGCCTCCACCTTTATTTGACAAATAAAACTGGCAGAATTTTGCAGAATTTTAATTTTTTTTGGCGCAGAATGCCCTCAGCAGGAACGAGCACAAATGACCCAGACCTGAGCTTTGAAGTCTGATCATCTGACAGACAGCTTCGGGCGGGGGCCCTGGGATCAGCCCTGTCTCTGAGGGGAGAGCGCCCCCCTGCTCCCTCACTCACCCTGCTCCCTGCAGCACAGCGCCGCAACGGGGTCAACCCTGGCTCGGGGGGGAGCTTGCTCCCACTAGCTCACTGGCTGTTCATGGCCCCAAACAAGCCCCCCATGGTAGGGCAGGGCGAGCGGCTGGCGGGCAGGGCTGGCTCTCCTGCGGGCAGGGCGAGCGGCTGGCGGGCAGGGCGGGCGCTCAGACACAGTGGCAGTTTACATCACCTCCTGCTTGTGCTCACTCAGATCTTTGTGGAGGCAGCTGGGGAGGGCAGCGAGGGCGACCCTGACCTTCTCCTCCCTGCTGCAGATCACCTGCTGCTGAGTCAAGAGGCAGGCGGCCCCTCCCCTGTGCCCAGCCGGCCTTACGCAACAGCTGCCATTAGACCCGCCCACCAGGAGGGCAGCTCAGAGCAGGAGGCGGAGAGGTTCATTCACAGGACCGGCAGTCAGCTGAGCCGGCGGAAGGCCAATGAGTGGCAAGTCCTTGGAGCCGGGCACCAGATGGGAGAGGAGGGCCCGGTGCCACCGGGAAGGGCCCGCGCTGAGGCACAGGGACCACGCTTGCCCCATCTCCTTAGTCAGGGTGGCTGGTGAAACACAGGGCTCTGCCCCCGCTGCCCTCCTCCGCATCAATATGGGGCGAACACGGGCACCGATGCAGGGGCCGAGGGTATCTGGATTTCTTGAGAAGGAGGGTGGCAGGGAAGCAATGTGCCACCCTAGCAGGTTTCCTCCGCTCTCCGCAGGCCCTGTAATAACACCCTGCTGCACCAGTGACCCATCAGTGCAGAACCATACCCGGCGGCTATGCTGCCAAGCAGAGAGTTCGGGAGGAGGAGCGGGAGCCAGCGTCCTGGCAGGATGTCTCAAGGCCCAGAGGCTTGGTTTGCCCTGCCCTGCCTGGACGTTAGCAATCCCTGGCGCTTTCCGAAAGAGCAGCGACTGGCCAAGATTTCCTCTCGGCTCCACAGCCCTGGCTGCTGCTTCCCATCCCCAGCGTGGCCGCCTTTCAGCGCTCTACAGCCGCTCTGGTAGCTTTGGACGAAAGGCGCTCTGGAAAAGTTGGGTCATTGACAGTAACTGTGGGCTGGTTAGGAGCGATTTATGCTGGGTTCTGTGGGTTCTTCTCCACGGAGGGTCAGCGTTCTCTCCGATTGATAGATGGGGAAACTGAGGTACTGACTGAAAACAGGACTTATCTGCCAAGGTCACCAGCCTGTCAGAGGCAGAGCTCACTACCCAGGTCATGCTTCTGATTCCCTTGTATCCCATTCGGAGTTTGTCCTCTGGACCTCGCCCCCTGATGAAATTTCAGCTGGTGCTTTTGTTCCTTGATCCTCAGAGCCTGGCACGCCAACCACAGACAAGAGGAGAATCACAAACACAGAAGGGAAGCCAGCAACATGTGACCGCTCTCCTGCAAACAGTCCAGAGGCGGTGAACGGCCCTCCCGTTGGAATGTTTGTGCACGCCGGGAGCGGGCTTCCGCTCGTTTCACTGGCAGGCTGGGGGTCTGACCCACCCTTTGAGCTGCGCTGGTGGCGTGGTTGGCCTCCCACGACAGCCTGGACAGACGGTTGATCTCCCACAACCCCCGAGTCAGCGTCGATGATTCAGAGTGCGACGGCGAACGCTCCCCCTTCTTCGCCACTTGACCCTGGCGCTGGAGGCAGCAGGCAGCACTTACGTGCAAGCCAGCAACGGACCATTCAGTGACTATACCCAGCTGGGGAGACTGAGGCACAGGGCGGCAATGCGACTCGCCCACAGCCAGGAATAGAACCCAGGAGTTCCTGACTCCCAACCCGCAGTACAGACTGGTCGGGTTTTATCCCATTGGTTCAATGCCAACAAAATAAACAAGAAGTCCTGAAGTTCCCAACCCCCCAGCGAGCTTCCGATTCGGCTGGAAGGGTGGGAATTGGACATTACAACGACACTAGGAATGAGAGGCAACTTCCTTCCAACACTCCGGCAGCTTCCACCCAGCACAATCAGGGGGTCGCGTTCCATTGTCACTGGAAACTTTCCACTCAGGCTGTTCACTTACATATATTTATAGATGCATCTGAAAACGGGTCACTCACGCTCTTCCCCAGAGGCACCAGGAGAGGGGAAAGGTCTTTCTTTTCCAGCGTGCTGCGGCCACTCCAGGGTCAGACAGCCCGATGCCCCCTCTCCTTCCAGGGCAGAGGAAAGCGCAAAGGACGTTGCTGGTGGTTCAGATTCGGTAACGCAGCTGAGATCTCCATGAGCCTGGGGGTCGCCTGGGCCCCCTCAGCCCTGCCTGAGTGGATGGACAGGCTCTCCAGGGGACGGACTCCAAGTTCTGTGCCTGATACCGTGCAGCAGCGGACAAGAAGAATTCGGGCAGCAGAGAGCACAGCCTTCAGCTGGCAGTGCGTTGCCAGCCCTCCCATATTGCGTCTCAAAGCAAAACACACTCAAGAATTGCCTGCAAGATGTTATTTATTCTGAGCTAGGTGCTGGGCAGATGCAGAGGAGAGGGCTGCCGCCCTGAGCAACATGGCATCTCTTATCCCCAACACGTCAGTGAGGAGCAGCCACCCGCGCTCCATTTCAAAGCTGGGCACAAGGCCACTTCAGCTCTCTCGGCTCCACGCTCTGGGAGCGTCCCATGTGCTAACGGAGGCATCTGAACTCCAAAAGCACCTCGGTTATACCCAAGCTGTTGATTTTTTTTGCTCCCACCTGCCAAGACACAGGACTGCTCTGACGGCCTGATGCATTGCTGACAGACCAATGCGTTGCAGCAACTTCCTGGCACGGCACCTCCCACCAGAGGTCATCGCTGGAGGAGGTGCGAGCCCTCAAAACGTCCAGGCCTTTCGAAAGGGACGACATTCATTCTCAAAGCCTGGGCAAGAGGGGACATTTAATTCAGATCATCAAGTCGAGTGAACATCGTGTTTTCCGACTGAAGAGAGACTTTTACAAACCGCCGTCTCCGGCAATCGCCCTTTAACTAGCACCTGATCGCAGGGCTGCACCCATGTGTTTGGAAATTCGCAAAGGAGGTCGGCTGCTGAACCTGGATTCTATTTCCTCTTCCTGCAAAGCACGACACTCCCTGGAAAGCTCTTTACATGCGATCATAACATCTTCCGTTGCTAAAGAAACCAGCACCCACCTCCCCTCCCCGAAGGGTAACCCTAAAGGCCTGCTGCTGTCCAGCAAACCGCAGGGGCTAGGGCTGGACCCATCCTTGCTTCAGTGATCTAGATCCCATTTAGACGCAGCAAGTTTTACTAAGCCACTGGTTGCCCATGCGTGGTCCATGGATCCCCCATGGTCTATCAAGCCCTTGAGCTAGTCTTCAGCCAGCTAAGGCAGTCTCCTGGGGTGTTGCCGAGGGTCTGCAGCCAGCTAGCTGCTCACATCTGGTTCTTTGGTTCCAGGTGCTAAATTCCATTGAAAGAAGCGAAGT